TTTTTTTTTTTTTTTTTAATGGGTCCGCGTTCGGCCCAAACGGCCGAACGCATCCCCAAGGGGTCCCATACGTTCGGGCGTTCGGGTTCGGGCGTTCGGCCCGTCCCGAACGCCGGTTACCCTGTACATATATGTATATAAAAAAAGGAGGGAACAGAGACTAAGATGCGGGGTACCGGGATGACGGAGAAAGCAAGAGGAGGTGGAATAAGAGGAAGAGGAGGTGAAAGAGGAGGTGGAATAAGAGGAAGAGGGGGGGAATGTGCATGTGCTTTGAAAAAACGGTGTTCTGTTTTTTTAACTTTTTTTTTCACCATTCTTTTTTTTTTTTCACTATTCAGTGATGTGTCTAGCAGAATTCAGATATTGAATCCTGTTGGACATATCAATAGATTGAATACTACTGAACAGGCCCCTCCCTTTTCTTTTCTTTTCTTTTTTTTCTTCTCTGATTCATGATTCCTTTTATTTCTTGGATGGAATTTTTTTTCCTCTTCAGGAAAAACTGGAGGCGTTGCAAGACATGGCCGCTGTCCACAAGGAACGACTTGAATCCGCAATGCAGTACAATGAGCAGCTGTAAGCTTAAAGACTCGATCCCCTTTTTTTTTTTTTTTTGTCTTTTTTTTTTGAAAGGAGCCAGCCGGGACCTGCTAGAGGAGGAGGTGGTACGAGCTGCCTCCTCGATCAGGCTCTCTGCTGGACGCTCCTGTCTATCGGTGGGTAGCAATACCTGCTAGAAACCAGGTGCAGCGAGTGTCCCATATCAAACAGCAACCACATTGTTTCAAAATTTAAATTGTCTTGTGTGTGTTTCATGATGTTCGTTACATTCTGTTTTTTTATATTTTTTTCTGCGATGTATTTTGTGTTTTGTTATCGACATATCAAACAGCAACCACGGTGTTTTAGCATAATATTGTCTTCCATGACAAGTGTTGTGGGTCGAGGAGTGTGAACGGGGAGGTGGTTGAGATGTAGCTGAAGAATACATTAGCACGTACACGATGCGGAAAATGTGTCGGTCTGTCTTACTATTTACTATTTACTATTTACTATTTACTATTTACAATTTTACAAATAATAAAATACATCTGCTGGCTTATGATGGCTGCAGTCTATAGAGTTTTTTTCTGCCTGGTGTGGGTGAGTGATGATCTGCTTTCATTCTCGTTACAAGTACCTTGAGGGAATTGGTCGGTGCCCACTGCTTACCGACCCTGTTACCGACGTGTTACCGACGTGTTACCGATCCTGTTACCTTGATAAGCTGTCCCCTAAACACAAAAAATGGAAACAAGCTCTTTGATCCCAACAGCTGGGTGAGGACGCCGCCCGGGCGGGCTCGGCCCGGGGGGGGCGCCCGGGTAAACTGGGCGTGCCAAAAAAAGTTAAAAAATGCCCAGAAATTTATTTTTATTTTTATTTTTTTGAAAAGGGGGTTGG